TTCATATGGCATACCAAATCTGAAGAAGAAATCACTAATAGACGAAGCTACAGTTGTAGCTTCCTGATTTGGTATTGCAAAAGCTGAAGTCAAAGTGACTGAAGAAGTTGATGATGGTGAAGTGGAACCAGGTATAGATATTAAAGCAGAGCAGGAGAAATATCAAGATTTGAAGCCAATAACTGATTTTCTAAAAGCATGTGTTTTGCGCCCTGCTTGGGAGAAGGTGTCTAGTCTAAGCCCTGTGACAAAGAACTATTGGGCACAATGGGACCAGTTGAAACTTGAAGATGGTATTCTTCTCCGGAGATGGGAAACTGCAGATGGAAAAGTGACGACCTGGCGAACGGTTATACCGAGGAAGTTGTGCTGCGTCAATCCCATGGTAGTTTAACAGGAGGACATCTCGGAGTTAAGAAAACATTGAGTCACCTACGACAAATATTTTACTGAATAGGTATGAGGCAAGATGTGGAAGAATGGTGCTGAACATGCAGTACATGTTGTGCTAAAAGGGGACCCAAGCGTAAGGGACGTGCTCCAATGAAGTTATATGAAGTTGGCGCACTAATGGAAAGAGTAGCCGTTGACATTGCTGGTCCTCTGCCCCAAACTCGTGCTGGAAACAAGTACATTTGTGTGCTGATGGATTATTTGTATATTTTATGTATATTTGTAGTATTTCCATATTACGATCCTAGGCTTTTCATATTTATTATTGGATAATATAGATTATTGTTTTGATATCCTATTTTATTTTTATAGCATTAGAAAGTAATTATTTATGCTCTGTAAAATAGTTTTGGGTTAAACATGATGTTCATTTTATTTAACACCGAAACAAACGTTTACACATTTTCACACTAGAAGACCTCTTGTAAGTTTTATGGTCTTATGGGTTCGGGAGTATCTTTTAATGAAAGCTTTTTTACCTTTGTTGAGTCTGGATAAGTGTTTTATGAACGTAATAAAGTTTTACTAAGGTACTAAGAATAAGAAAATTAGAAACGGTATAATTCACATATCTATTCAATATTTAACTGATTTAGAGTTTAGGACCCAAGGGTGGTGGTTATTTCTATTAGATTCGCCTTACATGTAGTTTATCTTTGAATTTACAATAGTAATACTACCTTTCGAAAGTAGGCCTAACAGTAACACTGTGTTAGTAACAGTACATATAAGTAGTTAATAAAAGGGTTTAATTTTTGTTTTATTTTTAGAACATTATACATATTATAAAATTTTTAGATGGCTTCTGCCCTTTTCGCTTGCACAAAATGCAACAGCCGCCATCCTTTTGAAGAACTCTCACAAGGGCAGCAACTGTGTAAAGTAAGTATTTTGTTTTTACTTTTAGTAAGCTGACTGATCCTTTCCTACTACTGCTACAACAGTACTGGTTAAGCCTCTTTTTATGTTCACATTTTTCAAGTTTAAGTTAGGCTTAAATTTACATAAGTATTAACATAAATAAATAAATGTTCATTCTGAGGCCATTAAAATGTTAAGTATTTTATCAGTTATTTGGTCATACTCAAAACTAACTTTAAGTTAATGCTATATTTACTCTCATGATTCATAGTTGAGTAATAGAACTAAACCATCAGAATTTTTGGTTTTGCCTAAACTGATTCCTGAGAACTGTTTATCTAAACATTATGCAGAACATAAATAATATAGAATGGAAAAATGACGTATATGTACTGAGTGGTTATAACATTAACAGTGACATATAATTATACATTAATATATGCATGTCTTTGAAATTGCTAATAATATGCTTCTGCAAAGAACATGCCAAATTTTGTTCAATGTTATGCAAACAGCTGCTCTACACTTATTTTTTTTATGTATTCTTGAAGTCAGGAATTTGGGAACTTTGTCCTATCACAATGCAATGTCTGCATGACAACCAAGGCAAAAAATAGCACGACGAAGGGGAAATTTTATTTATTCTGTACACTTGCTTGCTTGCTGTCTAGACTCATATTCGTAATAACTATTTGTGTTTGTGAAGAACTTTTGTTGTTCCAAACCTACAAATATGTTGAAGAGTTGTTTTGTGTTGAATTGCACCAACAATAAGACCTGAACTTCTATTTGATACCCAGTCAAGCTAATGAAATGGAGAGAAGAATGTTATGGCTGAAAGCTATCAACAGTGGAACACAGGAAGCAATACGAAGACTGTGGGAGCCAAAGTCTGACTAACTCTGCCTGTTCAGCTCATTTTGTATCATGTAAATGTTGTTTTCTGATTTTTTTAAACACAAAGTAATTGTACACGTCCGGGTATTGCACACTGCACCATTCTGTTGAGTCTTGATCTACATGTTGGCAGGGTGCTGGTAGGGACAAGAATCAAGCTGAATTAATTGTAACTTTACTCGATATCTCGCCAATGCCTTGGCTGACAACTTCTCCACATATTAATAATACATTTCAATTGATAACTTGACTATCGAACAATAATTGAATAATTTGCTCAGCAGCTTCAGCAGTAACACATGTATAAGACAGACCTATATAAATTACGTACACGCAGCTGTACTTACTTCGCTATTGTTTGCCTCTTTGTTAAGATGGCAATTGCATTTAGAGGGAAAAATCACATGACATGACGCTGTCCTCAAGAATATCTCCAGGTAGAATATCAACATGTGTGTATGTCACATGTTCAAATTTCTCTTAACCATCCCCATACCCCTGAACATCTTTAAAGTACCAAGTATATAATTGCACATGAAATTTTAAAATTTGAATTAAAATATTAACTAACACTGTTTGAACAGCTTTTACCTTAAAAACATTTTTGAGCTAATATTTTGTCATTTTTCAACATTAGTGTAATATGCAAAGAATATTTTCAAACTGTACCATAAACAGTGCATTATGGAATTTTTCTGCTTATTCCAAGTAATAGGTTTTTATTTGATAAGTAACGATTGCTCATATGGATTGGAAATTAACCAAGTGTTTTTTTTCTTTTGTGACTTTTCTTCATTGTTTGAAGATTTATTATTACAGGCTATTGTATAAAAAATAATCACATATTTTGTTGACACTGTTTGAATTTTTAAACTATGGATGGAACAAGTTTGGGCTACAGGGAATAAATGAAAAATATGGTGAATGGTTGGACATAGACCAAAGTCTCCACAATTATTTTAAGGTTAATCCATAAAGAATCACGTATAGTAAGTGAAATTCAAATTACATTTATTATATTTATTGAAACCTTGATACGTTGATATGGCTTATAACTAGTGCAGTGCTGAGCACAGAACTATATTTATAGGTATTTGAAATGAGTGTAAAATTATTTTTTAATAGAATACTTCATGATTCTTCTTTTTGTGAAGATTTTGTATTAAATATGCATTTTAAAGTACTGATTCTGTTTAACTCTTTCAGCACAGGCTAGGTTCCAGGAACCAACCTTGTAACCATTTTGTGCTTGTTATGGTGTATCTTTACAAAATTTTGCATATTATCAGTAAACGTTATAGGGCTTTTGTATGCAAAATATCAGATTTTTTTTTAAGTTTTAAGATTTTTTTGAGTAATATTTCCTCACGCCTTTTTTCTTCTCTAATTTTGATAATTCAATATGCAAAGTAGTTTTGATTTTAAGATTAAAAATACTTTTATACATTAGAAAATTTTCAAATTTCACATGCTAAATTAAATCTTCATAACCTTCAGATAATTATCAAATGTTTTTGTAGAAAAAACTATTTTATCTGTTATTTTCACTACTGTATCTCTGTGCAAGTTTGGTCAATTAGACCAACCTCATAACCGCCATAAAAAATTAGGAAATAAATATAAATTATGCTTTTTTTGTTCTAGAATGACAACAAATTATAACACGAAAACACAAATGTTTAGTCTAGATAGCTTAAAATTCATAACATTATACATCTGTATATATATTTATTATTTCTATTGTATTGACCTTTCAGCCGTGCCTGGCTAACATTACAGAAGTTTGCAATGATGCATGCACGTGCACTCCATGTTCAAGAATATAACTAACATTTACAAAGTTTCCTGTCTTAGCTGTGTTTTAGTGTAC